CAATGCAACGTCATGCAATGCACTGTCATCGTGCCATGCCCTGTCCTACAATGGGCTGTCAATTCAGTGTCATGCAATGCAACGTCATGCAATGCCCTGTCAGCATGCCATGCACTGTTATACAATGGGCTGTTATGCAGTGCAACAAAATGGAATGCAACGTGATGCAGTGTGCTGTCTTCATGCAATGCACTGTCACATAATGCACTGTCATGCAGTGCAAGGTCATGTAATGCAACGTCATGGAATCAACGCGCCGTCATCATGCCATGCACTGTCATACAATGCACTGTCATGGAATGCAGTGTCATGCAATGCAACGTCATGCAATGCACTGTCATCATGCAATGCACTTTCATACACTGGGCTGTCATGCAATGCAACATGATGGGATGCAACGTCATGCATTGCGCTGTCATCATGCAATGCTCTGTCACACAATGCGCTGTCCTGCAATGCACTGTCATGCAATGGACTGTCATCATGACATGCACTGTCATACAACGAGCTGTCATGGGATGCAGTGTCATGCAATGCGCTGTCATTATGCCATGCACTGTCATACAAAGGGCTGCCTTGCAATGCAACATGAGTGAATGCAACGCCTGTCACACAATGTGCTGTCATGCAATGCAACATAATCGAATGCAACGTTATGCAGTGCGCTGTCATCATGCCATGCACTGTTATATAATAATAATAAAATATAATATAATATATACAGTATACAATGGGTTGTCATGCAGTGCAACGTGATGGAATGCAACGTCATGCAGTGCGCTGTCATCTTGCAATGCAGTGACATACAATGCGCTGTCATGCAATGCACTGTCATGCAATGCAACGTCATGCAATGCTCTGTCATTATGCCATGCACTGTCATACAATCAATGCGCTGTCATGGCATGCAGTGCATGGAATGCAACGTCATCGTGCCATGCACTGTCATCATGCCATGCCCTTTCATACAATGCGCTGTCAATTCAGTGTCATGCAATGCAACATCTTGCAATGCACTGTTATCCTGGCATGCCCTGTCCTACAATGGGCTGTTGCAACATCATGCAATGCACTGTCATCATGCCATGCACTGTTATACAATGGCCTGTTATGCAGTGCAACATGATGGAATGCAACGTGATGCAGTGCGCTGTCTTCATGCAATGCACTGTCACATAATGCGCTGTCATGCAGTGCAACGTTGTGCGATGCAACGTCATGCAATCAATGCGCCGTCATCATGCCATGCACTGTCATACAATGCGCTGTCATGGAATGCAGTGTCATGCAATGCAACGTCATGCAATGAACTGTCATCATACAATGGGCTGTGATACAATGGGCTGTCATGCAATGCAACATGATGGAATGCAACGTTTTGCATTGCACTGTCATCACGCAATGCACTGTCAAACAATGCGCTGTCATCATGACATGCACTGTCGTACAACGCGCTGTCATGGAACGCAGTGTCATGCGATGCAACGTCATGCAATGCGCTCTCATTATGCCATGCACTGTCATACAATGGACTGTCATGCAATGCAACATGAGTGAATGCAACGCCTGTCACACAATGTGCTGTCATGCACCGCAACATAATGGTATGCAATGTCATGCAGTGCGCTGTCATCATGCCATGCACTGTTATACAATGGGCTGTCATGCAGTGCAACATGATGCAATGCAACGTCATGCAGTGCGCTGTCATACAATGCGCTGTCATGGAATGCAGTGTCATGCAATGCAACGTCATCATGCCATGCCGTGTCATATAATGGGCTGTCATGCACTGCAACATGATGGAATGCAACATCCGTCTCACAATGTGCTGTCATGCACTGTCATGCAATGCGCTGTCATGCAATGCGCTGTCATGCAATGCAACGTCATGCAATGCGCTGTCATCATGCCATGCACTGTCATACAACGGGCTGTCAATGCAGTATCATGCAATGCAACGTCATACAGTGCAACATCATGCAATGCACGGTCATACAATGGGCTGTCATGCAATGCAACATCTTGGAATCATCATGCCATGCACTGTCACACAATGTGCTGTCATGCAATGCACTGTCATGCAATTCAACATCATGCAATGCGCTGTCATCATGCTATGCACTGTCATACAATACGCTGTCATGCAATGCAGTGTGATGCAATGCAACGTCATGCAATGCCCTGTCATGCAATGCAGTGTCATGCAATGCAACGTCATGCAATGCGCTGACATCATTCAATGCACTGTTGTCATGCAATGTATGGTAGGTTGACGACATGCATGCGAAATGGTGCAAGGTGTCATATTGACTGCCAAAGGTCATAAAATAAGTGTGCAATGCCGTAAAAATCATGGGATGAAAACTAGAATACCGGTGGGAAGGCAGCTTGTCAAGCACTAGCATCATGCAGCTGGACGCATCTAAACAAATTACCCGTGACAAACATTGACAAACTGGTGAAAGAGAAAGAGCACGCAGCGGACAACACAAAAAACAAAACCCCCGCCCAAAACATTGAGATTCCTCTTCCTCCAATGCCGCTGCCCGTTTTTGCCCGCGCCCCACCGGTCGCTCAAGCTGGGTTTGCTTGCCTAGCACCAACCGCAACACGAGAGAAGGCTTAGGCTAAGCTCACTCGCTGTGAGTCTCACTCGTCCTCGCCAGATCTTGCAAGTGTGCCCGGCCCAGCCAAGAAAAATAGGCTCAGCACTCAACATCTTGAGGCCACGGAAGCAAAGCTTCCTCAAAGGGGTCACCAGAGGTTCCCCCCACGGGCACTGCCAAGATGAGGTTCACACGAGCCGTCCCCGGGTCTTTAGACAAGCCCTCCTACACAGCCAACCGCGAAGCCCCACCCCCACAATCCCCAAGCATGCAGTGGAGAGAGGAATAAACCTCCACACAGGGCCAGCAAAGCCGCCTTTCGTGCCGCATGCTCAGAGACCGCAGGCTAACTCAAGTATTGTTGAAGGGCCAAGCAAGCAAACCCAGCCATCGCTTCCGCCAAGAAGCGAACAAAAACGTGCTACAGCATCTTCAGCTTTGGAATCTCAAGGGTTTGGTCTTTGTTTCCCTTTTGTAACCGCAGTATTTCGCAGGCAGTCTCACACCAATGAGAAAGGGACAGTGAGAGACAGGAGCTGCGGTCCATGATGGCAAACCAACTCAACTGATTTCTCGCCGAATCAAATTTCACAACAAAATGTATCAATCCTCTGCTGCTATGGCATCGATTCAAAATAGTGATGCTCGCCAAAGGTAACTAAGTATAGCCCAATAACTGACTATGGCAGAATCAGGCCGGAACTCCACAAAATGAAAATCACCTGGTTCAAGATTCTTTCACCATCCTCACCCACACATTGAATACCAAGACTTGATTGAAGAGTTGAATATGAATATGATGGTTGAACTGGACTCCTAAACTCTTCCATCCTTGCAATGGACTCTTCCCATCTCTGCTTTTCATCTGTCCATATTGTCGGAAGTTTGACTTCTAAACTTCCTTCGATTCTACATGTATCTGTATGTAACTATGTATGAGAATATAAATGTATGTATGTATGGATGTATGTATGCATGCATGCATGGATGGATGGATGCATGCATGTACGTAAGTACGTACGTATGTATGATGAGTATGGATGGACGGACGGATGGATGGAAGGATATATGCACGCATGCATGCCAGCCACATTGCAATTTCAATAGGGAAGCTGATGATTAACCGGTAGATTTTTGGGGTATCGTGGTTTCAGTAAAATGAAAACAAAGGTTTGAAAAATACGCATACGAAAAAAAAACAAAGGTTTGAAATTGTTTTATCTGCATGTGCTGTGTATGGGTCAACGGTCACTAATATGTTAATATGGCTGGTATAGTTGTGATGTTATTGAATGATATTGACTGTTCATCCCCTGGGAACACTGAGGGTTTTTGAATCCGTAGCTGTCTGACGTCACCACCGGTATTGACTCGTGCCTCACAGTACACCAAATGAGCTGCAGGGAAGCATCCCTGGGATGCCAAAATGCAGAGAAGAGTGATGGGCTCAACGTGTTCAAATTTTCCTCTCTCGCTCTCTTTTCTTTCTCTGGAACCCCTCCCAATTGCAATACCTATCCAGAACCGGATCGATTTCAACAACAGGCAGGATGTGAACAAACCAGCTTTGGACCCACATGCAAAACACAACTGACATGCAAGTCTGTTAAGGGTAGCAAGTGAATGTATTTGAAATGAACCGCCTTCGACGTCTCACTGCACCCCGCAAAACAGCTGGCAAAAAACATACCATTCCCGGAATCAACTCTAAATTCCTTTGAGACTTTTAGATATGTCCTACTTCTGGCATATACACACTGCACAATTGTGTATCAGCAAGTCTCAATGCTTATCCGCACAGCCAGCTTCAAACAAAGTCAACTCTGAAGAAATCAAACGAGCACAAGTCTGTTAGCCTTGGGAAAAGCCTGCACGAGAAACCATAAGATCATCCCGTCTGAAAATTAGCTGGCTTCTAGCAAGGCACTTTGATCATATGCTTTCACGTTTTGTATTGCCAGAGAGCTCTATAAGTGTGACCGATCAGCAACGTTGGCTGGGATGAACAGCGGCCTCTACTCAGGTGGAAGAAGAGCAGCTGTATAGTAGCATTAGCTATTGTACTTGCCTGATTATTCAGGAACTTTCCGAGTATTGCTCAGTTCTATGACTGGAAAATCAAGAGACTTTGGCATTGCCAGCACTCAGTACATGTATTTGATCCTTGGTTTGAGCCTTTACATTCCTTTACAACTATACAGGACTATATGCAGGACTATACAAGGCGTCAATTTCCATCAATGCAGCAGCATGCTTGTGGCTCCCTGCTCTGATGAAAACTAGCAAGGGAAAGCGTTGTGAACTGAAAGTGCTCTGTTTAGGAAGGTTCATGGTGCTTGCCAAAGTGCTTCATGGTACTTCAAGATCTCAAAGTGATAAACAATGTTAAACAAGTGATTCCAGTGCTTACCCTTTCAACTAACTGAACTAGCGGCAACTAGGGCTCTGCCAATCTGCCTTTCCCGTGCAATGAATTCTGCGACTTGATTGATTTCTGCCTTGGCTGAGTGCCAAGCGAGAAGACTGGGCAGACAATCCGAGGACGGAATGCTGCAATGTGGGGGATATGTCAGCAATATGTTTTAAAATGCTGCGCAAAATCACGGGGTCGCTATTGCCATTGCAAACTTTCAATAAGCTGTTTGCGTTGTGCGATCTGAACTTGTGGAGTTTATGAACAATCGAAATTGAGCCAATTGGGCCGACAAAACCAAACAGGTGAAGCGTATCTTCTCCGTGCGTGGGTATCTGGGATGCAACCAGAGTCACAAACGCACTCAGGTTACCCGAGATGTTGCAAGATGGGTCTGCTGGTCCAAATGCCATACCAACTGGCTTTGTACAGTCGGTATGAAGGCCATAGGAGTGGCAGTCCGTTGTTAACAAGCAATTCCTAAGATAAGCGGCGGCGATTGTTGGTGCAAATCATGCCAATTGGATCTCTACTTGCAAAGTTGGAATCATATTTTGAATTGATTGCAAGTTGCCATGCAGCTTTAATCTTCTGCCAGCAGTGCCGGAAGAGTGAGAAAAATGGGATAGAGGGCCTTTTTTCTAAGGAGCCCGTGTTGACCCTTTCCTAGACATTTTCTAACCTTCCTCCTATTCCTTCCATATTTCCTTCATTGCCATCCAAAACTCCCGAGAAAGTGCCGTGAGAGAAAGGTGGCCCATTAGACACTAGTTGTGCTTGCAAGTACGCTGCAGAAACAAGGTTGGCAGCAATTGCCATCAATTGCCCAAATTGCATGATGCCTTAAACATATCTCGGAAGAAACGAAGAAAAGGACACGAGATAGGAACGTTTAGGCTGTTCCGAAATGTTTTAAGATGTTTGAGGTTATAGAACCTAATTATTCCTGGGTATGTTGAGGGGGGCTTCATGATTCCCCAACATGCATCATCCTATACCTACCCCTTGAGGAAATTAGTCCAGGAAAATTATTCAAAAACAAATATTCCATAACCTAGTTGATACCCTGGATTTATTTTTTTTTAGGGGATGGGTCATGATTTTTCATAACCTTTCAACACTGCTAATCCACTTCCCTGTTTCTTAAGCGGTTTCACGAAAAAAAACTTCGCAAATGTCAGAATCGACGTTTTTTTTCCCAAAAACAGACGGTTTTTATCCAAACGCATATTTGTTCTTACGACAGTGAAGGGAACAATTGCCAAACAATTATTTTTTTCTAATATATTTGATTTTTTATTACAAAAAAAAATCGGTTTGCCTTAGAAACATTTCGACAAATTGTTCCGAAAACACCCGAAGGTTTTCTCCAAACCTTGGACGCGTCTCGAATAACAGCAAACGCGTTAATTAAAAAAAAAAAATGTGTTTTGTTGTGCTATGCCATTCACCGGCTTGCATCGCTCCCAAAATTTGGTCACCGGCCCAGCAACGGCCACCGGCCAACCGGCCCGGCCACCGGCCCGCACAAAAAACATATTTATTTGTAAAAACGTTTGTGTTTAAAAGTGTTTGTGTGTAAAAGGGTCTCTGTGTCAAAGCGGCTGTGTGTAAAAGCGTCTGTGTGTAAAAGGTTTCTGCGTGTAAAAATTTCTGTGTGTAAAAGTTTCTGTGCGTAAAAACTTCTGTGTGTAAAAACGTGTGTGTGTGTAAAAACTTGTGTGTCTCAAAACTTCTGTGGGTAATAGTTTCTGTTTGTAAAAGCATCTGTGCGTAAAAACTTTTGTGTGTAAAAGTGTCTGTGTGTAAAAGCGTCTGTGTGTACAAACTGCTGTGTGTAAAAACTTCTGTGTGTAAAAGGTTCTGTGTGTAAAAACTTCTCTGTGTAAAAAAAATCTGTGTGTAAAGGTGTCTGTGTGTAAGAAACTTCTGCGTGTAAAAACTTGCTGTGCTTAAAATAACTTTTGTGTGTAAAAACTTTTCTCTGTAAAGACGTTTGTGTGTCAAAGCTTCTGTGTGCAAAAGTGTCTGTGTGTAAAAAACTTGTGCGTGTAAAAACTTCTGTGTGTAAAAACTCCGGCAGAGCATGGCAGAGCCAAGATCTCTCTGGAAACGACTGTTTTACAAACAAACCCCGACAGAAAGGTCTCTCTTAGACACATGTTTCCAGAGTGAACTTCCTCATACAAGAGCCTCTTCGATGACACCTTGCGGTTCTCCTTTGGAGCAGGGCTTTTGGCCAAGGCATCTCGGACAAATAAGTCTGGATAGCCCGTTGTTTTTACCTACTGCGTCATTAGCCACCCGGGGCGAAATGTTACTTTGAATGGTTGGGGGTGGGGTGGGGGGGTGTAGTAACGTTCTCTTGCACATGCACACTCACATGATGCTCCCTTAGAGATGGGGTGAGGGGGTTGGGGGTGGATGTGATAAACTTGAATGTTACGCTTCGACTTGCTGACTGACTTTGAATATTTCTTCAGTTGCACACTGCGCTTCAACTTGCTGACAAGCTTTGGACTGCACTTGGCAAACTTTGCAAAAGTGGAGAAATGAAAAGAAGGAAAAGAGCAGGTGAGTCACTCCCTATCGCAATTCCATGGTGTTTGATCTGTTTCCTGTGCATGCCCCAGTGCAGCTGCGAATTCAAGAAATTTATCTCTTGATGGGCCTCCCGCAAAACGGAGAAACACCACAGTTTTTGCAAACATGCCTTGGGTGCAAATACCAAATTCCCCGGCATGGTTGACCATGCCGTAGCCTTGTTTTTGGACTCTGAATAGTTTGCCTTTATTAGTTTGCGTTTATTTTCGTGAATGCAGAGCTACGAATAAGATCTAATAAGAAGGGAGCTTCTTGCCTGGCCTTTTCTTGCTGATTTGTCCCTTCTACATTTCACAGGTAGCCAAATGATCTGGTTTGTTTTCTCAAACAAGTAGTTGGGTTCTGCAGCAAACGCTCAACACTGTTTTCAACAGTCTTTGCTAAGTAAGATATGATAGGATCAGGTCCTGTGTTCAGTGCATCTGGTTCAATGCAAAAGGACCTCTTCAAACGACTCGTACTCTCCTTTTCTCCTTGTACAGTACGTATGAAGTGAGCAAGGAACAGTAACACGAGGAGTGCAGAGTCAAAATTTCCTACAGCATCCTACAGTACTGGCTCGGCGTCCATGCAGAAAGCCAAAGAATCGATCGGAGAAACCCAAATCAGAAAACGCAAAACCCAGTTCAATATACATGCCACGCACCAGTTTACTTTGTATACATAGAAATAAATTATGGACAGTTCCCCCAGCAGTGGTTGAAAACAAGAGTGCCGACAAAGTCTGAAAGCCTCGAAGTACATTCTGCAAGTTACAAATTCCAAGAACAGAATCAGTTATCTCCAGCTGTTGATGCACCCCTCCGGAACAATTCCAAAGTAGTTCTCCAATATCAAACAGTGCTATTGGCCAAAGTCGCCCATTGTCTGACATGTGACATGATGTCAAAGTGTAGCGGCAAAATGAAGTATGACAAAACGTATACAACGTCATAGATTATTTGAGCTACTGAGCACCCCCTATTTTGATAGGATAATCTACCCAGCACACACTGAGAAAACACTGGCACGAGAGGAACGATTCAAATTAACTGATCGAAACTTTGATGGCGCTGCGCATTTATGCAACATTCCATGAATAGAAATGAGATGAAATGAGTTTATAAGATCATAAAATATTCCCTTGAAAAGCCCAGTCCGCCCGCCAAAGAATCTCTCCACATACATCCACGCATTCATCATTGCGTCTCAACCAACTCGGCTCTAGCTGCGTACCTTCTGTGTAATCCTTGGCAAAAGCAAAGGCATGGCAAAGCGCTGCTGCATCACGCTGCGTCAGTGCTACATCATGGTTCGTCAATGCTCTGGGCCTGTCTTGTTCTTTTTGTTTAAAATCACAGAGAGCACTGATTGTGAATCCCCCATGCTTTGGATGATTTCCAGTTCTATCTTCTTCCGCCTCTCACACGTCGTATGCCGTTTCTGTCTCTTCTTGCAGTGGAAATCTGATTCAAAACCATGTGCGTTTGCAATCTTTTGCAATTGTGAATTATCTATGCCAGGCAGAGGAACTTGCTGCAGAAATTATGCAGTCAAGGATCATTCCACGTCGTGATCTGAATGAATTCGGGCCGGTGACGCCTCACATGTTGCGCCACCAGGCGTTCATTTAATGAGGAGATATGAGGAGAGTGATACTCAAATCTGAACCGATGGGGTTGGCTTCGGCTCCCAGCAAGCACGTTCTCAGCCTCGCTCTTTGCAGAGTGATGTCCAACAGAGACACATTTGGCTCCTCCCACAAAGCGCAAAATTGAAGCATAGTGAACTATGCATATATTTTATTTATATATAAATATAAATATACTGTATGTATATAGTGCATATGTATTATATTGCGTATGTAGGTATACATAGAATTAAATACATATACATGGGGTCACTGCTTCTCAGAAAAACATGGACATGTCCAACCCAGGCCACTGTCCAGAAGCGTCTTATCAAAGTAGCAATCCCGATATCCACGAAATACAGATCCAGATGAGACAACTGGGTGATCTTCCTCATAATACCTGTGCCGTTCGTGTCCAAAAATGGCTTGACATGCATCGAATTTCATTATGTTTCCTCTACATGTGTCTCTATAAAAACACACATGTAAACTGTGGAGACTGAGGTTTCAAACTCACAGTGTAAGACATATTTAAATCAGGGTGGTTCAAAACACTCTTTCAATCTGCCGCGAGCCACCGCCAAACCGTACCCAGCCTCTCAAGATATGTGTCTGACACCCATGTGTAGGTGTCAGATGCCCATTCAGGAGGAACTAGTTCGATCCTTGAGATGTAGATTGCATTGACTGGCAGCGGTGAAAAGATTGTTTCGTTGTTGTTCCATATTGGCACAATGGGCAATCCTTGGTGCCGGTAGTAATGTGGTTCTTGCGTCCAATTGACAACTTTTGCGGCCGTGGTTATCATAACGTCAGGAAACGTCGCCGAGTCGACCATGATTGCAAAACCCATTCCTCGAGTTTTTAAACCTGCAACGAGCCTGTCAACATGGTCATCCCATGTTGACATTTGGTAATCAATCCAAAGGCCATCCAATCCAGATGCTGCCATCAAATCCAACTGTGTGTCGATTGTAGTCTCGTCACTGATGTCGTATGCCCCCAAATAGCTGGAGTAGTATGAATTGCCATATTCCAAACACCAGTGGTCGTTCTTGTAGGTACAACTAGGCCCTGCTTGAGTGCACGCTTCATTGACGTTGTTTCCCAAGAACCAGGGCAAGTAGTGACCCACAAATTTCCTCAGCCCAGCACAAATCAACATGTTCGTCCATTATCCTCACTCAACACGACTTTACAAACTAGCTTGGCAATCAAAAGTCCAAACGCGTCTTAATTGGCAAAACTGGGTTTCCAAAAAGAGAAACTGAATGTTGGAGACAAGAAATCGAGAAAAAAACAGCGCTGGCAAAGAGCAAACAACCTGAGAAGGGGGGAAAGAAAACCAGCTCTCATAATGAAAACCCCTGCGCACAGCAAATTGCCTGCGTGTAAGACCTGCAACATTGAAATCCTCCAGTTGTAGCGTAGCCGCAACTGCAAAAAAAAAATTGAAGCAGACATCCTGAAACTCTGCTGGTGGCTTACGTGTCCTCAGTCACTCGAGCAATATATTTTTCTCCATCTATTGGTTTAACTGGCGAGAAACCAGACTGAGGGGAATCGATGCCCTACTGCAACATTGGAGTTCCTACGCGCAACACCTTCAAAATTGGAGTTCCTCTGCTGGAGCAAACCCGTAAGCATCACGGCTGAGAGCATTAAACTTCCTGTGCCGAACACCTTCAAAATTGGAGTTCTCCAGTTGCAGTAACCTTGCAAGTATGACGACTGCTTGTAACACCTTCAAAATTGGAGTTCTCCGGTGGTCGCCGTACTAAAACTCTGTTGGTCAGCTACTTATCTCTAGTCTTTTAAGCAACATGTCTCGCTCTATCGATTTCTCTGACTGGCTACTTAGCTCGCCCAGGAAACCCACACCGAGAGGAAATCGATACCCTATCGCAGCAAAGTTCTAGCCCGTAATATTTTGAAAATTAGAGCTCTTAAAAAGGAACACGCCGTTCTTGGCTTAGCATAAACTCAACATGGCTCGAATATGGCCCCAACAAAGCCTCCAAGAGCCCCGCATGGATCAACATAGGCCCAACATAGGCTCCATATACGCCCGACATGGTCCCGACATGATCCAAAAACGACGTGTTCCTTTTGGGCCGGGTAAAGGCTTAAAAGGAACACGCTGTTCTCGGCGTAACATAAGCTCAACACGGCTCGAATATGGCCCCAACATAGCCTCCAAGGGCCTAGCATGGATCAACATAGGCCCAACATAGGCTCTATACGCCCGACATGGTCCCGAAATGGCCTAAAAACGGGGTGTTCGTTTTGGGCCGGGTAAAGGCTTAAAAGGAACACGCTGTTCTCGGCTTAACATAAGCTCAACACGGCTCGAATATGGCCCCAACATAGCGTCCAAGAGCCCCGCATGGATCAACATAGGCCCAACATAGGCTCCATATACGCCCGACATGGTCCCGACATGGTCCAAAAACGGCGTGTTCCTTTTGAGGTTCAAAAGGAACACGCCATTTTTGGCTTAACATAAGCTCAACATGGCCCGAATATGGCCACAACATTGCGTCCAAGAGCCTAACATGGATCAACATAGGCCCAACATAGGCTCCATATACGCCCGGCATGGTCCCGAAATGGTCTAAACACATCTAAAAACGACGTGTTTTTTTTTTGGCCGGGTAAAGGCTTAAAAGGAACACGCTGTTCTTGGCTTAACATAAGCTCAGCACGGCTCGAATATGGCCCCAACATAGCGTCCAAGAGCCCCGCATGGATTCCCATAGGCCCAACATAGGCTCCATATACGCCCGGCATGGTCGGACATGAGCCAAAAACGGCGTGTTCCTTTTGGGCCGGGTAAAGGCTCAAAAGGAACACGCCGTTTTTGGCTTAACATAAGCTCAACATCGTTCGGGCGTTGCCCCAACATAGCGTCCAAGAGCCTAACATGGATCAACATAGGCCCAACATAGGCTCCATATACGTAGGTGGCACGGAGCCTCTGAGGTGGCACGGCGATGTGCAGCATGGCAACGGGGGTGGTCACAACGCAACAAGGTGTGCTAGCGCTGCTGACTACTGTCACTATGCGTGCAACCAGTAAATCAGAAAATACGTCAGAAGAATTTCTCAGCCTATAGCAATCCATCTGTCTACCATCCTGTCAATCTATCCCTCACCCTATCCACTGGTCCATGTCTCCATCTCACATCAATCGCGCTAGCTGTCATCCGCTTGTAGCCAAAGAGAGATGACGTGACGACTTCAGCAGAGGCCTAGCTGTATGTCAGGTTGTCATTGCAGCCTGCTGCCGACAAAGTTTCCATGACCGGTAGCCATCTAGCTACCTATCTAGCAACCTATCTGTCCAGCCTTCCGTCAAGCCATTCATGCATCAACCTAACTTTCACACTCTCTCTCTCTCTCTCTCGCTCCCCCTCCCTCCCTCCCTCCCTCGCTCGCTCGCTCGCTCTCTCTCGCTCTCTCTCTCTCTCTTTCTTTCTCCATGCCCCCATCTATGCATCTACGTAGCTATGCGCAATCTATCCGTTCATCCCACCCATGTCATCCAGCCAGATAAAGCTTCCATAACCTGTAGCCATCTAGCTATTTATCTATCAACCTATCTGTCCAGCCTTCCGTCAAGCCATCCGTGCATCAACCTAACTTTCACTCTCTCTCTCTCTCTCTGTCTCTCTCTCTCTCTCTCTTGCTCTCTCTGATTCTCCACGCCCCCATCTCTGCATCTACGATCATCTATGTAGCTATGCGAAGCTCGCTGCCAGCAATTCATGCTATCATGTGGTGCTTCTGGCCCTCTTCGGCAATCTGTCCGTCGATCTCTTCATGCATCTCTCAAGTAAACTATGTATCTATCTATGTAGCACGCTATCTACCTATGGAGCTCCACGCACCTTGCAGCCTCCTGCTGCTGGAAACAACTGCTTTGGATGTTGCTTTTGGCTGCTTTGGAGGCTATCCAGCTATCGGCACACCTATCTATCTACTTATCTATCTATCTATCCATCCGTCTGTCTATCTTATCTATCTAGCTATCTATCTATCTGTCGATAGTCGATCTGTCGATCTATCTATCTATCTATCTGTCTGTCTGTCCGTCTGTCTGTCCGTCTGTCTGTCTGTCTGTCTGTCTGTCTATCGATCTATCGATCTATCGATCTATCGGTCTATAGGTCTATCGATGTATCGACCGATCGATCGATCGATCGATCTATATATCTACATATCAATCAATCAACCAATCAACCTATCTGTCTATCTCGCTATCCATCTATCGATCTATCTAAGTGGCTTCTCTCTCGGTCCACACATAATCTATATTTGTCTGCTTCTCCTCTATCCGTCTGTCTATCTATTCTACCCATTTTTTCTCCCCTCCATCTATCTGTAAACTTAATTAATCTATTTTTCTACTCTCCATCTATCTATAAGCCTATTGACGCCTCCAAGCTTGTCTCTCTGTCCATACATACGTCCCGTCTGGGCGCAATACGGTTCCAAGATGACCTAAATGCGGCGCATTCCTTTTGGGCACAACATGCCCCAAAAGGAACACGCCATTCTTGGTCGAACGGAAGCACAATCTGCTCTCTTTGTCTACCTGGTTACCCCCAATAATCACGGACCAGGGGGGCCCAATAATCGAGACCGTCCCGATAGGGGGGGGTGGGGGGGGTTGTTTGGGAGAACCCGGGGGCTCCCCCCCTTTTAAGAACAACATCCCCCCCCTCCAGTCAGAATAACCCCCCCCATCCCTCTATCGGGGAGATCTGCAATAATCACGGAACAGGGGGGAATCGATACCCCACCGTCACCCATTTGCCACCTGGTACGTGACCCTGCAAAACGTTCCCAAAACCCACCCTAAACACCAACTGAGGCTGCCAAATTTTTGCCCGTTCGTCAAGGGGCCCCACCAGACCCCCTAATCTCTCACGACATTTGCAAACAACAACGAGACAGCCTGTCCGGCTGGCGTTCGTTAAAAAAAGCAACTAACGTGTACTAGATGGGACACGTGAACGAAACGGTGAATAAATGTCCTGAGAAATGCAGTGAAGCGGAAAGTTACGGAACAATTGGCGTGGCCACGGCTCAGGACAAACATTTGATGATTCAGATGCCCAACATTGCTCTATGCTTAAGTTGTTTGAAATTCCTGGGGGCGCCATTGCTGAATGGGTTTTCGCTCGCTAGAACTCAGCTTCCACAGTGGACACGGAGCGGTGGTGCACTGGCTGTCAATGCAAGGCTCGTTTGACGAACAGTACGAAACTCCCCAGGCGGCAACACCAGGCGGGAATTCCCAGATGCCCTCCTGACTCACGCAAAAATTAATATTCACAGCGAGCCAAGTAAAGCATTTTCAAGATTCAACATTCAGAAAATGCAAGCGGTAAAAAGATGTCCAAATACTCTGGCAGTGCCACAGCCTGCAAGACCAAAGAAAGACTTGACTTCCCGCCGTGCTGGCCGTGTCCAAACACATATCGAGGTGCACAGCCCACCTGCGGTGTCGGGCTTCAAGCTGTTGACACTCTACCAAAAGAATGTTGAAAAAACTTTTACGCGTGTTTTCATCATGTGTCTGTATGCGCAAGTTTGCGTACATGGATGTGCGCATGTACTGTATACATATATTTATATGTGTGATCATTGGGTGTGTGTGTGTGTGTCTGTGTGTGTCTACACTTGTGTGCTTGTGGGTGTCCACGTGTGTAGTTGTCCGCCGTGTAGGTGTCTGCCCTTATGCATCCCTACATGTACGTGAGCATGTTTGTGCGCTTCAGAGGACTGCAGAGAACCCGAAAGGCCGAAGAAAGTGTCCAGATTTGTTCAATGTTTCATACACATATATTACAGAATATATTTCTAGAGTGCATCAGCTGCAGCAACAGCTCTTTTCAGTACTACCAGTAGGAATCAAACCACTTGAATGCTTCACGACTGGTTTTCAAATGTCTGAACCTAAGAAAATGCGTGCCATCTGGCGCTACCCTGCAATTCACTAGCCTTGTTTGCGCATTGTGGTGGGGCCGTTTCAAGTTTATGGTATTGCTGAAGAAAGTTTCTTGCAGCGGCCTGCAGCCCATGTACCAACAGCAGCGGCCCCGAGATGCTGGGTGTGCTATGGCTTGTTTTCACAGCACCCACCCTATCATTCTTGCTAAGTGCCTACTCTTTTTTTCTTGAAATGTTAGTACCACGCATTCTCAAGATGATCAAAGCACGGCGGACAAGGTGTGTGTTCTACAACCCGTGTCATACTCCTTGAACCTTCCTACGTGCTCATCCTGCGAAGCTGCTGCTGATGCAATCTTGAAACCATTCTTATATTCTTATCCTACACATTCCTACACTATATCCGCCGACCCCGGCCGCGTAAGGGAAAAATAGTTTATGACAACAACAACAACAACAACTACTACTACAACAACTACAACTACAACTGCAATAACAACAACCACTACTACTACTACTACTGCTACTACTACTGCTACTACTATTACTACTACTACTGCTACTACTATTACTACTACTACTACTGCTACTACTACTGCTACTGCTACTGCTACTACTACTACTACTACTCCTACTTATCAATTTTCAACAGCAGTGGTCTAATGGCTACCTTTTTCAGGTAGGGTTTGGACAAAACTACAGGTACAGGGTACGCACGGTACGGGACATGGGTACGTAGGTGCGGCACATGGGTACGTAAGTATGGTGCTGGGTACCGTACCCATGTACCGTACCCACCGTGCCCACCATACGTACCCAGTTAGCAACCGATCTAGCAACCGATTTTTTAAGATAAAGAATGTTTACCAGTAGTACCGCACAAGGCGGTGGCGAAAGTTTCAAAAATAGGAAACCTATAGGAGAGGTTGGCTGTTGTGAATCACGGATGGCAGAGCGAAGCCACTGATGGATCGAAAGGTGGTTGATGTCTCCTCTCTTTCTCTCTCTGCCTGTCTCTTTCTCTGACTATCTACCTACCTACCCACCTATCTATCTATGTATCCATCTATCTCTCTCTCTCTCTGTCTGTCACTGTCTGTCTGTCTGTCTATCTATCTATCTAACTATCTATCTATCTATCTATCAGGTTTTGAACTTGACAACATCAAATTCTCCGAGACGTCCTCAGGTTTTGAACTTGACAACATCAAAAAACGCAGCAATTCTGCGAGACTTCTTCATTTTTCAAAGTTGACAACATCAATCAGCAAAACAAAACCGGGGATCAGATCAGGGGGGTTTACCTAAGCTAGGTTTTTTAATTGAAGTAAGCATGGGAGAAAGGAGGAAAAAAGGAGGAAAAAAGGAGGAAACAAGGTTGTTTTCAGGATGAAAATGTGCAGTGGCTAAGTGACAGATCTGTGGTTTAGAATTTGTGTTGCCAGGAATTTTCTCAAAAATCCTTTGATTGCATGGCAGAGGCCCAATCTGACAATGATCGCCCCCATATATA